CACGGACACGACCCTCTGGTGCTCTTGGGCCGTCAAGACTGGCGGTCGGTCTGTCTGGTTCGGCGGCGACACGGGCTACCGTATGGTGCCCCGGGACGGCATGGACCTCGACAGCCCTGAGTTCAAGGCTCTGCCCACCTGCCCTCAGTTCAAACAGATCGGTCAGCACCGAGGTCCGTTTGACCTCGGCCTGATTCCCATTGGCGCGTACTACCCGCGTGTCGCCTTCTCGAGCATGCACGCGAATCCCTACGACTCTGTCGAGATCTTCCGCGACACACGTTGCCAGCGCGCCATGGGCATCCACTGGGGCACCTGGGCCCTGACCATGGAGGAGGTCCTCGAACCGCCCAAATTGCTGCAGAAGGCTATGGAGTGGCAGGGTCTTCCCGCCAAGGGTGTGTTCGATGTGTGTGATATTGGAGAGAGCCGAGAGTTCTGATCATGTTTGTTCTGAATCGCATCCCTTGAGGCTGCGCGCACTTGCCTGACGCAACCAAACTATGTGTATTGTGTGTAGGAGGAGCGTTTGTATAAGGAGGGGAATCGCTCCCACAACTGTACTAATAATTACCCACAGCGAAGTCAACAAGGCTCCAGGAATCATCACCGAGGGTTCACCTCAATCGTTGTTTGACTTGGTAGAGTTGTGTTTCGTGCAAAATTCCTTTGATAAATACAAAGGGTGGCATCCGCCCTGATCCAAGGGGGGCCAATTTTCCTTCAGTATCCTGTACGCCGTACTCCAACCCGAGGTGAGGTGGAATCATGACACCTGATAACCTCCATTGCGGTACCGACCGCATACCTCCTTACGCCTATGAACGCCAGCCCGCCAACGATCCCGCACACGCGTAGCCATACAGAACTACATGATAACAGTAGTGCCTCCATTTGCCATGCCGTCGAATAACTTCACCAGTCCCATAGCCGCTCCAGCCGCGGCTCCGCCCACGACGACCATCTCGAGACCACCCTTGACGGCCTCCCACACACACCGGCCGCCGTGCCAACCACTGACGGCACACGTCTTGACGTATCCAAAAGCAAACAGCGCAACGACCATGACGGCCACGGAGATCCACAGCGCGAGGTCGACCTGGCCCTCGCCGACGAAGAAGTACGGGAACAGCGGGATGAGGCCGCCAAAGAGGTAGCCGGCGGCAATGGTCAGGGCAGAGATGGCGGCGCGGTTCGAGGCGGGCTCCTGCTCGCAGTGCTGGAACTGCATGAGGAAGTCGACCTGGCGCGGCGAGCGGGCGAGGTGGGCAGAGAGGTCGTCTAGGGTCTGGGCGGGCAGGTCGTAGGGCTCAAAGACTTCGAGCACGGCGGCACGGACGTGGTCGCCGTCTTGCTCGATGCTGCGGACGCACTCGGCCCTGGTTTCCCTGTACGAGGCGCTGTTGGGTATGTGTTAGTTGGAGCTGTTATGTTTTGTGATTGGGGTAATGAAAGGAGGGCGAGTGTGGGGGAACAGAGAGGAACTTTGAGACTTACGCTTCGCTCTTGGCTCCGAGGTAGCCGCCAAGGCCCATGGAGATGGCGCCGGCGATGAGCTCGGCGAGGCCGCCGTAGACGACGACCTTGGTCTGGCCGAGGGCGGAGAGACCCGCCGTCAGGGCGAAGGGGACGGTAAGTCCGTCTGAGAGGCCAATGGTGGCATCTGAGATGATGCGAGCATCGAGGCGGAATGGCCGTGTTGGCTCCTGCTGCTCAAAGGAGGATGTCTTGGACTTGGTGGTTGTGAGCAGAGGTTGACGCTCAGGGTCGGTGTTGTCAACGGCTGTGTCGTCCGACGCGGCGCTGCTAGAGCCACGGCGCTTCGAGCGGCCGAATATGAGATTCTTGACTGCCACGATCGACATGGTGTGTTGACTGTATGTGTGTGTATGACAGAGAGCTAGAATGACTAGAAAGAGAAGGAAGATAGAGGGCGAGCGACGTTTACGTGTGCTGTCGTCTTCGTGATGATCAAGTGGGATTGTACTGGAACGAGAGGGGGGAAGGTTACCAGAAGCTTTATAGAGTCAATAGAAGAATCGGAAGGATATTCTGCAGGATCCGTCTTCAAGTTTATTGACCTTGCTTCCCTTGCTTTACAAAAAGCACAGTAGAGGTGGATGTCGGTGTTGAGGGATAGGTCAACGGCGGTAATCAGCATTATACGAGCTGTGATTGGTCAATGGCCGTCGAAAAGGGAAACGGCCAGCTTTGGGTCTTCTTGCCCCCGTAGTCAGTGTGACTACAGCAATTTAGGGGTCTAATAAGGGACTGACTCCATTCGGTTCGCCCCTCTTTCGCGCCTGAGGTCTGTACCTGTAGGCCTCCAACAAGGTCGCCACCCAGGCAGAGATCCACGGCCTTCTACATATTACCATCCAAGCCATTTGCGTAATACAAAAGGTGTCGACCAAACCCGGGCCTTCAATTCTGTTTCAAGACAGCAAAGATAAAGTTGACACACCATCGAGAAAGGACCCTGAAGCAACATTCGTCATCCGCCCATATACATCCTTCATCATGGGACTCCCGCTCGACAACAGCCCGGCCAAAGACACTGAGTCAGGCACCACTGGTAACGGGCACGGAGCCACGACAACCGAACGGCACACAACTCTCATCGCTTCAGGAGCTGGAGTGAACACAGGCGCAGGAACGCCGCGTCCCAAGACGGACGCCGAAAAAGAGGCTGACCGACTTTATGAGGAGGCCATGGAAGAAGAGTACGCCAAGCGCGATGGCGGCGCCTAGGACATCCATCACTTGATCCCTCTCTCTCTCTCTCTCTCTCTCTCTCTCTCTCTCTCACACACACACACATACATAGACAAAACTCATCTCTTCGCCAGCGCTGGATCCGGCTCATCGTGTCTACAGGGGAGGCACAAAGCCCATACCACACTGCTTAATGCTACTTATTCTCCAATACCATAGACCACGTGAAACATTGCGAAGGAGCCCTCATTGGCAGCCTAGCAGTGCCGCCCAGAACATCATGCTAAGCGTCTCCTGACGTCAATCCTCAGTAGTGCTGTTGAGACATTGTCACCCTATTCTACATCAGCGAAATCCTATCAGATCTGATTTCTATTACATTGTACTCGTTACGTTGCGTTCATGGGCATGTCGGACCATGGCCTGCAGGCCACGAGCCACTTGTATATCTGTTTTGTCCCTACTCACAAGTCGCGTCATCCGCCGTCACGTAACCTTGCCAGCGCCGCTGCTATGCCATCAGTGAGCTCGTCTGGCGCACGGCTGCTGGCCGCAGACTCTGTTCTCTGGGAGGGCTCAATTCTCTGTGAAGCCTCTGCTCTCGCCGTGATTTTTGACTCCTCAATGGCAGCGGCGATCATTGCATCCTCATCGTCTTCGTCGGCTGCGACAGCAGGCCGCTGGGTCCCTGATTTCTTCCTTGCGGATGCTTCGCCACTAGGAACAGCCTCGGTGGGCGGGGTGTCTGCGGACGCGCCACCCATCGAAGACATCTCGCGCAGAGGGACACGCCCAAGGGAACGAGCCTGGTCGAGTCGCGATGGCGTCCCGTCCTCTGTGCTCTCGTCATGGACGAGCTTGCGCTTGGCAGCCTTCTTGGCCCTGAACGGCTCGTCAACCGCAGCGATCCACTTGTTCACCTTGATTGTTCCCCACCCAGCAATGACGCCAATCTGCTCGGCGTCGGCGTTGACAGCGTCTTTCAGACTGCCAAACGTACTCACGAGCGCAATGGCATCCGCCTTGTTCACGCTCCTGGGCACAGTCACAAAGTCGACGAGCTTCTCCGCGTAGCTGGACGACTGCTGGCCGCGAATGGCGCTGAAATTGGCGTGCTCGTATGACTTGTACAGCTCGAGATAGCGGGCGGCCTCGGCGGCGGACCAGCACAATATGACAGTCACGTTGCTGACCAGCGAAGTCTTGGACAGTTCGCGCAGGGAGTCCTCGTGGTTTGGGATGTCGACCATGGCAAGGATGATGCGCAGGTTGTATTTTCCTTGCAGGTTTCGTATCCGTTGATAAATGTATTCGGGGTGCAGGCGGTGGTATTTCAGGCTGCAGCACAGACTTGTCAGCAGCTAGGACAGCAGTAGTGGGAGGTTGGTCGGTGTCCGTACCTCAGGAAGAGCGCACAGGTGGTCAAGCCGAGCACAAAGTCGGCTGGAATATCGCTATATTCCCACGGGAGCGACCGTAGAGACGCGAGGACCGGGTTTCCCCTCTGGCGGGGCGACACCTGGATCGCAGAACCAGAAGACCGCTTTGGCAGCGCCTGTGGCGTCGGCTGCACCACTTTGCCGCCAGAGGCCGACGCACTCGCCGGCGGTGCTTTGTCGAGTCTCTGAGGTGTCGGTTGCTGGATCCTGGGCGCGCCTTGTTGTCGTGCTGCCTCTGGTTTCGGTGGCGGCGGCGGCGCGTGCGGCCGTGAACTGCTCGAGTCGGACGCTGCGAGCGCCGCCAGGAAGTCGGCGTCAGCCCCAAAGTCGTCGTCGGCAGCCATTGCTTCGAGACGGAAACGCGGTCAACCCTCGGCTGTCGGCATGAAGCTATGCTTCAGAGGTCAGCCTTCGAATGGACTGACATGCAACCGTCACGTTGGTGACTCGGGTGTTCGACAACATGCGTCATAGCTTGATTGCGTCTCCAATCATGTAGATCTGTCACGCTCACAATCGGCTGGTCCGTGCATTGGTGATTCAAGCCGCCATGTACCATCACACATGCCTTACCTAGGTATGCAAACCATCGCGCCTACGATATTTGATTGTTAAGGATCAGCTCATTAGGCTGATCTTACTCTCCCAGTCAGGCATCAAGCCTGGGGTTGTGTACTATCACTCAATCACACCAATAAGGTATTTCGCCATCCACAAAAGGGCTATTCTCTGTTTAGACACCCAAGAGTTGATTAAAATTGTTATGGTATCAAAGTCGTGGTCTACCAACGTCATATATTACAGATTTAGCGTTTTCGCGTTTTAACTTTGATCGCCAAGCTTCGATTAAGGCAAAGACGAGGTATCGCTTCGGGACCAAGACTCCCCAGACAGGGAATCATGAAGGGAATACAATGCGCCTAGCCATGTGTCGAACATGGTTTCGACACCCTGGAGCTCGTCGTGTTGTAAGCCCATCTCGAGCACCTGGTTGCGCAACCTCTCATAAGCCTCAATCATGACGAGGATTTGCAGCGCAGGTGCGTCGGGGCTGCCTCCAGGGCGATCAAGCATGGCTGTCGCCAGCTCACGTGTCAAGAGGTCGACGCAAAGCTGAAGCCCAAAGTTCCCTTGCGGCACGGATCGTCGCAACATTGTCGACACTCGATGGTGCAGTACGGAAGGCGGTCCTGGCGAGAATGACAAGGGCTTAAAGTAGATCGCCTCCTCGTCAAAGCCGACCAGAGTGCCGTCGTCCGAGGTGGGCGAATGGGCCTGTGTGTTTCGACGCGTTGGTGGGACGGCAATGGCATTCTGCGGTGGGACTTCCTCCGAGCTGTGTTGCCGCCTCGTTCCCGACGATGTCAGTCGTCGTTCGGAGCGTGGCGGAGGGTCCGAGTAACAGTCCGTGTATATGGAATCCGTATCACTGGGTTCGAGGAGAGCTTGATACTGGGCCGCGATGAGGTCAACGCTCGTGGCTTTGCTGGCTTCGGTGGAGTGCCGCCCGAATGAGCCTGCCTCCAGCTGGCCGATGGACGTGACCGGGGTCTTTGCCTGACGCCTGACACTGGAAGCCGTCGAAGTTGAAGAGGTCGGAGAATTGACACCAAAGCTATTAAGAAGCGGCCGAGGAGGTGTGTTGTTAACAGCGAGATGTTTGAATTCCGGTATGATCGTCGGTGTCTGCTCGACGTTGCTGGCATCGGCTCGTTCCTGAAGAGGACTAAGTCCTGGCAACGGTGACGATGAGTCCATCGCCAACATGCCACTCCGCCGTAGGTACTCTTGCCATTTGGCATCACTCAGATCTGGCGGCACGCGGGGAGACGAAGCGATGGGTTGTATCGTCTGCTGTACCACAGGATTGGCACCAGCCTTGAAACTCAACGACAGGTTACTGGAGGCCGACCGCCGGGAAGGGTTCTTTTGGAGTCTCTTTCTCATTTTCTCGGGCTTGGCCTGCTGGAGACCCGGCGAGGGTGATGGTGCAGCTGAGTGGTTTGTGGAAATGCGTGTGCGATCCATCGATGATCGCTGAGCAGACGAACTGGTACGCGTGGATAGCTGAGCCGCTGACATGGTGATACGGGGTGTTAACGACGGCAGGGCAATGGTCTTTGCGCCATTGTGGAGGTTTTGGCATTATAAACGAGACTGGCGACATGTGAAGCAGACGGCGACCTATGACGTTCGTCGACGTGTACTACAGTCTGGGGAAGGGTCTTGGGTCCAGGGATGATGAAAACAGGATTCGCCCTGCAAGGCCCTGGTGTCAGCCAACTCGGCTCACCTCACCATTTCGCAAAGCCAACTCTACATGGCTGTGCATGCGGCGGGGTATAATGCTTCTTCCTACATCCACCCTACTGTGGATGGGCCTGCACAGTTGAAGGGCAATAGGTAGTTAATGGGAGCCGGCACACTTGTGCACCTCGTTCGAAATGGGAAAGGTAAGGCTTGCAGGACAGCTTCCCTGGGAGGACGAAAGCAATCAGGGCGGGCGTGCATGTGGAATGACCACAACGAATGATGGTGGTGGATGAAAGTTGACAGGGTTCATCTTGGCCAGGTTTTGGCCTGCAGACTGCAACCTTCAAGCCACGCAGCCTGTCAAGCTGGACGCCAGGGGGCTTGAGGCCCACGTCATTGTTTTCCATCTCGTCACGTGGCTCGAACCAAGCAGCACTGTCAATTGCGAGCCTGGCCTTGCTTGGCACATCTGGGTATCGCCCTCCCCAGATGGTTTATGACGATTGGGCCAGGCCAAAGATATTCAGGACCCAGTACGGATGCCAATTATCGGTACCTGGCCCGGCGCATTGCCTCCCCTGGCTGGCGGTTCTCCACTGTCAACTTCCCACATAGCGCCTCAGCAAGGACGCTCACCTTCACAGCCGGCCGGCCGTATGGAGTATTGGAAACCAAAGCTTCGATATGGCTTCTAGAAGAGTGTTCGTCCCCCGTGACGCTTTATAGTCACTGTCCTTCAGACAGCTCCTTTCCTGTTGGGCATAGCTAGGGTCGATGCATGCTCCTCGGCACATTTCTCCGACCGGCACACCGGCAACAGGTCAATTTATTTCTCGCCGTTAACCTTTTCCGCCAGTAACTCTTGGCCCACGGCTGCACAACAGTATCTCGTCATTCGATTTCTTCAGTACCCATTTTACCTATGTTGAGCATTCGATGTTGAATAATATGCATATAGAATGCCGTTGGGCGAGACGGGCGACGGAGGGAGGAGGAAGCAACACAAATGGCTCACACATTCATCGCGTCCTAAAGATAGTCCCGAATGGCCCTTGGTTCGGCCTCCCGGCTTCGATCCTGTTGTGACAACGACTTGTCTGTCAGGCATCTTGATCAGACGACCAGAAAAAAAAAAGGCGTCGGCATGGGAAGACGGTCGGGAGACAAAACAACATGGCGTACACGAGCGGCATCGACTCCGCGCGTCGTGGGTTCCAGGCCATCGGGCTGAGGTGCTAGACCATGGCTTGGGTAGGTAGCGCAATGAGCGCAATGCGATAATTTGTCCCTCCCACTCGACTGTATCCGTCGCGTCTCGCACCCCCCTAGCGCCCCGAACGCCCTGTCCATCTCAGCAGCCGACGGATAATTTCTCCATCAATCAAAACCTTTTCCCGATGGTAGCAGCCGGACCCGGCACGGACAAGCGTCTACCTCACCACTCTCGAGGTCGCCAGGACCGTCCTGCCCACTAATCCCCACTTCGACCCCTCCTGATTACCCCTCCCCCTCTATTCCATGCAGCATCAATTGGCACGCTCCAAGGTGCCGTCACGTAGCCGTGGCCCCTTGCTGATCCCTGCCGTTCCGCATGGCGCGTCCTGGCTCGGGGTAAAGCACCCTGACGAGCCGATCTCTAGACGCGGGGTGAGTTTGCAGTGGGCGAGCAGAACGAGGATGAAAAAGTAGGCACGCAAGGTATATATAACTTCACTCGCCCACGCCTCACTTTGGGCCATTGTCATCTTTGTCTGTCTATCATCACACACCTCCTTCACGCCCTCTCCTTCCCCTCTTCCCCACCACACGACTGCCAATATGGCCCAAGAAATCACCATCACCGGGTGGAGCACCCGCGATGTGAGGTTCCCTACCTCGCTCGACAAGACCGGATCCGATGCCATGAACGCTGCCGGCGACTACTCCGCCGCCTACTGTGTCCTCGAGACTGACTCCGAGTACAGCGGCCACGGCATGGTGAGTGCTCCCGTCGTCTCGACATTCTTATTGCTTGTCCCGCATCGCTCCGGATTCCCTGACTGACAATCTTCCTTAACAGACCTTCACAATTGGTCGCGGCAACGACATCGTCTGCACAGCAATTGACTACCTCGGCGACCGCATCAAGGGCAGGACTCTTTCATCTCTGGTCGCCAACTGGGGCGAGACCTGGAGGTACCTGGTCAACGACAGCCAGCTACGATGGATTGGCCCTGAGAAGGGTGTCATTCACCTGGCTCTTGGCTCCGTTGTCAACGCCATCTGGGATCTTTGGGCTAAGGTCCTCGGCAAGCCCGTCTGGCGCATCGTCGCCGACATGTCCCCAGAGGAGTTTGTCCAGTGCATCGACTTCCGCTACATCACCGACGCCATCACGCCCGAGGAGGCCATCGCCCTCCTCAAGGAGCAAGAGGGCGGCAAGGCCCAGCGCATCAAGGATGCCGAGAACAACCGCGCCGTCCCCGCCTACACCACCAGCGCCGGCTGGCTCGGCTACGGAGAGGACAAGATGAAGGGCTTGCTGCAGGAGACCCTGAGCAAGGGTTACAGACATTTCAAGCTCAAGGTCGGTAGCAACGTTGAGCAGGACAAGAAGAGGCTGACCATTGCGCGCGACGTGATTGGGTACGACAAGGGCAACATTCTCATGGTCGACGCCAACCAGGTCTGGTCGGTGCCCGAGGCCATTGCCTACATGAAGGAGCTCAAGGAGTTCAAGCCCTGGTTCATCGAGGAGCCCACCTCTCCCGACGACATTCTCGGCCACAAGGCCGTCCGCGAGGCCCTTAAGCCCTACAACATTGGTGTCGCCACGGGCGAGATGTGCCAGAACCGTGTCGTCTTCAAGCAGCTCCTCATGGCTGGAGCCATTGACGTGTGCCAGATCGACGCTTGCCGCATGGGCGGTGTGAACGAAGTCCTCGCCGTTCTCCTGATGGCCAAGAAGTTCAACGTGCCCATCGTGCCCCACTCCGGCGGTGTCGGCCTGCCCGAGTACACCCAGCACCTCAGCACCATCGACTACGTTGTCGTTAGCGGCAAGCTCTCTGTGCTCGAGTACGTCGACCACCTTCATGAGCACTTCCTCCACCCCTCGGTCATCAAGGACGGCTACTACCAGACGCCCACCGAGGCCGGCTACAGCGTCGAGATGAAGCCCGAGAGCATGGACCAGTACACGTATCCCGGCAAGGAGGGCGTCAGCTGGTGGAGGAGCGAGGAGGCCAGGCCCATCATCGAGGGCGTCAAGATCTGAGCGGAACATGTTCTGCTCAAGGGGTCAAGCGGGAGACGCTTGTCCGCAGGGCAACGATGGCATCCTGTATGGCTCACCATGTGGCCATCCCTGCCGGTTGAGAAGATACAACCTGTATGGACTCTTCTCATCTGGTGTAAGCACTGGGGGTGAGGTTCGCGGGAGAAGGGGGGGTTTGGCGTGGGGGGGGGGGGGGGGGGGGGTTAAGCCATTCCGCAAGGCAACGATGGCATCTTGTATAGACTGAGCGCGAGCTCACTTTCTATCCCCGCAGCTATTCGCAATGCAAATGTTAAAAAATTGATTCGCCAAGAGCAGCCTTTCATTTCCTGTCGTGACTTTGGACCAGAGTGGCCAGGAGAGAGTGGGGCCCAAGTGCTCAAACCAGGGGTCCTTCGCCAGATCGGGCACGGACCTGGTGCAACTGGTGCTGCGTTGAGAACCACCAGTGATCAGCGAGTGAGCACGTGTCCCCGTTCTCAAACGACGCTCATCCACCGTACCACATCTGGGACTTGACTTGACAAAGCAGTTTCTTGGCTTTGCCATCACGTTTTTCTCTTTGAACTTCAGCAGCCGGCTGTTGGAAGGTCTATTTTCTTCTCTTGTATTCCTGGCCATCGTTTCCCTCTACGCGTGTCGGTCGGTGCGTTCTCTTCCTGTAGACCCGGAGCCTGACAGAACCGTACTTTCCCCTCCGACGTCACTGCACCTCATCGACAGCACCACGTTCGACATGGCCTCCAAACGAAAGACCGGAAAGGTTGACGATCTCACGCCTCAGCCTGCGAGCCCCGAGCAATTCGAGAATGAGCTCAAGAGTCTCGCCTCGAAAGCCCAGAAGGACTCGGGAGAGTCCTGGATCCTCAAGCAGCTCGCCCTCTATTTCAAGACGACTACTCTGCTCATCCTTGTGGCTGCCTACTCCAACGTGTCTTACCTGACTCTTTCGCCAGTCTATGGACCGATCCCATCGTCAGTATGGCATTCCAAGGTCATCATGGGCGCAGCGTTTGCCGGATGGTCTGGAAACATCTGGCTCAACCGCGCACTGCCCATCAAACCCGCCCATCTCCTGCCCGTCATTGCCATGTGGATCCCCACGATCCAATTCTTCCTTTTCGGCTGGAGCAACACCTTCACAGCACACTATGGGCCGCTTGTGACTGAACTGCTCACTTTGTTTCCCCTGGTCGCCATATCCGCCGCCACCGTCGCCACAATGTTGGAGGATGCTGATCTCTCTTTCCTGCCCCAATTCTTCGCCGAGGCCGGACCAGGCATCGCATCGTGGCTGATCCTCAAGCTTTTTGAGAACCTCACGGACGGCGTGATTCAGGCATTCATCGGGCAAGCCTTTTTCACGACGCGAATCGGGCTTGAGCTTCTGCTGGGCGCTGCATATGCCTTGTTCGCGCCCTCGAACCTAATCGTGGTGTCCCTGCCAGCGCTGTACCACACAGCCATGCACAACTACCATGTCATGTCCCCTGCTGCCACTGTGGGCCTCAACTACACGCTGCAGGCTGACAATTGGATCCTTCTGGACCGCAGGGAGTCACTGACCGGCTACATTTCCGTCATCGAGAGCCTTGACAAGGGGTTCCGCGTCATGCGCTGTGATCACTCGCTCCTTGGAGGTGAATGGATGAAGGTCAGGCCTACGGATCCTCGTGTGGCTGAGCCCATCTATGGCGTTTTTGTTATGCTCGAGGCCACCCGACTTGTTGAGGTTACAAGCCCCGTTCCTGACAATGAAGCCAAAGCTCTCGTCATGTAGGTCTCTCTTGGCCGCATGTCATAGTCCACGCTAATGTAAACCAGCGGCCTGGGTATTGGAACGACGCCAGCGGCTCTCGTCGCGCATGGCATTGATACGACTGTCGTGGAGATTGATCCAGTGGTTCACGAGTTCGCTTCCAAGTATTTCCAACTGCCCAAGAACCACACGGCGGTTATCGACGATGCCGTCAGCTACACGGCTTCTCTTGTCAACAATGCGGAAGCTCAGTACGATTACATTGTTCATGATGTGTTCACCGGCGGCGCCGAGCCCATCCCCCTTTTCACCCTGGAGTTCCTCCAGGGACTGAGCTCCTTACTGAAACCTGACGGCGTGATCGCCATTGTGAGTGATGAAACCCGCCGTCTGGCCCCCAAACACACATGCTGACCGATCTGAGAACTACGCCGGCGACTTTGTTCACCCAGCTCCTAGGATCATCGTCAACACTATCCGGGAGGTGTTCCCTTCGTGTCGCATCTTCCGTGAGTCGGCCGCTCCCGACGAAGAGACTTTGGCAAAGGACAAGAAGGATTTCACCAACATGGTCATCTTCTGCAAGAAGACTTCTGGTGACATCACGTTCAGGAGGCCTACAGAGAGCGACTATCTGGGCAGCAGGTCTCGGCGAGCGTATATGATGCCGCAACACGAGGTGTTGGACGCCAACTTCAAACTCGGCGCCGAGGACGGCATCCTCAGGAACAACGACACGGCTAAGCTGGCGCAGTGGCACCAGAAGAGCGCACTGGGTCATTGGGAGGTCATGCGTACGGTGCTGGACCCCAAGATCTGGGAACTGTGGTGATGGGCTCAAGGCTGACAGCATGAGACCCCCATTCTATAATTTGCTGGTTTCTGCACAAAGCTGTTTCTGAGCGATCACCCACCGCCCGTGGCTGTCGAATCATCAATGGCTAGAAGCACAAACATATTACTCGCCTTCCCTTGCCTCCCTTCTTGCTTCCTTGGCGGTCTGCTGTGCCCTGTCATGCTTGCCTCTACTTAATCGTCAACGGGTTTCTTTCCCGGCTTTGCAGAGGCTTCTGCAGCCTTGACCGAATGATCCACCCCGATTTCGTTCATGCTCTTGATGTACTCCTCCAGGTAGACAGGCACCTTGTCCACGGCATTGTACGGCCCCGGGATGGGAGCTCCTAGCGACATGTGCACGGGCACGACGCCCGTCCAGACGTTGCTGACGACCGCCGGGTTCTCCATGTCGTGCTTCTCGTCCCCCGGGGGACCGGAGCGGATCTTGGCGCTGCCGGTAGCGATGCGGACCTTGAGGACGCTCGTTGAGCTCATCTCGGCCTTGTTGGGGGGGATCCTGCTGTTCTGCCAGCGGCTGGCGACGACGCTGTCGGTGATGAGCTCCATGGCGTACAGCTTCTCGTCATCGGCCTCGACCAGGGTCGCGTGGCCGAAGAGGACGGCGGAGCGGTAGTTGTAGCTGTGGGAGTTGGGGGTCAGCGCGAGGACGAGGCCGTCGACGTGGGTGGCGGCGACGGTGACAGGCAAGCCCGAGGGTGAGTCATCGGTCGCGGGACGGCGGGTCAGGTTCATCACGCGGGAGGAGACGTAGCCATGGAGGTAGAGATCGAGCACGTCGCCCTCGTCGGAGGAGGGGCGGTCGAACGAGCCCATCTGACCGATCATGGGAAGGACGGCCGGGAAGGGCGAGTCGGGGGAGCTGAAGGAAACATGAAGCGTGGGGCACGTGTTGACGATGCTGTGGATGACTCTGAGGGAGTATGAGGCTGTGGGCAATGATGAGTTGACTCTGCTCCTGGTGAGGGTGCCATGCTGGGTGACTCACCTCGTGGGCTGTACCGGTTCACGGTGCCGAGGGGCCGTTTGGGGTACTCGAGCTCAGCGCGCGGCATGGTGAGATGTGTAATTGTGTGACGGGATCACAACGACTGCGCTCTTGTCTGGGTAGCTGGAAGGAAAGGTTGGACCTGAAGGGAAAGGTTACAGGTCTGTCAGTATGAAGGATGGGTGCAGGGCAGATATAGTTCAAGGGCTGAGGATGCTGTGCTGTGAGTGACCGGCCCGGGTTCGTCATGCCGGGCTCCGGGGCCCCCGCATTTTGTGCCGAACGCCGCTGGCTTCCGTCGGACAGTGCCTTTAGGTTGACTGCACCCCACTGGACACTGTACGAAGCGTGCTGACGTGCCCAAGCACGTGCTTCGGACTTGGGGTGTTTCACAACGGCATCGCTTTCCCTTGCTATTTTCCCGTCCTCCCTACCAGGTGGATTGCAAGGGAACAAAAAAATGGCAGACATGAAATCCCTATAAGCAGCATATCAATCAGCATGCCGTACGGGAGGGCACTTCTGTTCAGCTACTGTTCAGTTTCAGGGACTCTAGGGACCTGGACATTACGTCGACTCAACTTTGTTTCGGCAATCCGCTTGCCTGCCTACTAGTAGTACCTACCTACCTAGGTACCTTAGGTAAGAAAGCAGGGGCAAGGAAGCGGCTTTCCAAAACGTCTGGTTATAGCTGCACGTCGTTCGACCAGAGCTTCTTCATTAGTCCTTCTCCATGACACGGATCACGGAATGCAACATGGTCGACCATCCATCGATCGCAATGCTTTACTCTATTTTGTCGTTGCATCTCATCTGATAACCCAAAAGAGACGGAAAAAGCTCACGACTGTCGACCCATGACCCACGAGGTCTGACGCTGTCAGTTTCAAGGGTGAAACACCCACACTCGGCGCCACGCCTTTAGGAGGCCCTCGAGCCCTGTCAGCCCAACCATGGCCAATGAAAGGCCCGGTCATCTCTCAAGTCCTCTGGTGCCTCAACGTTGTCTTGAGACTGGGGTCGTTTGATGCTCGATGCTCGATGCTGTGCTTGTTCTATTCCCACCCTGCGTCCCTCCCACCAGTGAGCCCCGGAGACACACTCCGTAGGCTCGACCGAGCGTCTGTCCGCCCTGTGCTTTCTTTGTCCTGTTGCTGTCGCTTGCAGGCCGAACTTTCTACTCCTCCATCTCGTCCATCTTGCCTACTGGTTGCGGAAGGTGTCGATCGAGCTGACTTTCCTGCGTCCATCGTTCGCGTGCCGTCATGCTTATCGTGTAACGTCAGTATCGCCAACATGGTCGCTTTTCTTTTTTACTAGCCTTCACTTCTTCCTTTCCCTATTGATTGGGGCTTTCCCTTCGTCACCGGCCGGTTCCGTTCGCCGCCCCGGCGCTTTTTCTCAACAATGTCGTTCCCTGCCACCAGTCAGGCCTTGAGCGCTGCCTTTACCTTGTCAGTCAACGCCGCCATGCACTTCATCATCCATGCCGAATAGAAACAACGCCACGAGAACCATGGGGGATGAGGGTGCGATTCGGGGATGTGATCAGCTAACCTTGTGTTACGCGCAGTGGCATCGTCTTCAACTCGGCCTCCGCCGCTCTTTATCTTTGTATCCAGGGGCAGGGCACCAAAGTATTCCGGGACGGCCTGAGGCTGGTCCTCATCACATTCCTTGCTGGTGCCGCCCTCTGGGCCCAGATCGACTTCATCGCGACCCTCATCGACCCTTCCTCGTCTTTGGGATGTCAAGTCGCCGTCACTTTCGCTTCCTCCTTCGACCAGATCGCGCGCCTTGCCCTTGAGCAGTACCTGCTATGGGCCATCAACAGTGGTCTCAAGCCGTCATCCGACACCTTCATCCCCCAGGCCCTCCTTGTCATTCGCCTGCTTGTCGGAGTCGTCTTTGTCGCATTTCAGCGGACTCAAGTCCTGCCCGTCTGCCAGCCATCGAACAACATGACCGCCATTGGTATCGCTGTCGGCGCCACAGACGCTGTCATTCTCGCCCTTTTCGTCCTCCGCGCTTTCAAGACCGGACTGGTTCGAGACTACCGCGAGAAGCGCCCCGGCCATCAGCGCGCCAGAGCTGTTCTGATGCTCCTTGTTGGGCTCGCTTTGTGGACAGGGGCGAGTGTCCCGTTGTTTCTCGGCATTCCGACGATCGATATCATCTGGCGTACAGCTCTGCCTGCGGCAGCCCTCAGTCTTCTACTCGGTATAACGCTCCACATATGTCTCATCGCGAGATAAATCACTGCTAACACAGGATAGCCCTCGTTGCCGCTTTTCTAGGGCCTCTGGTTCTCACCAAGGCTCACGCATCTGGTTTGCCCCAAAACTCTGCCTCCTTGCCCGACGACTTCCAAGATCCTACCTCACAATCTCGCGACCTATCTTCTTCTGAGTCAAACTTCCCCCCCAACCGATATGAAGATCTGAAGACTGGCACGACAACCTCGATTACAGCCACGCGCGCTTTCAATGCCGGGAATGGAGCTGCCGGAGCCGGCTTTGCGGGTGTTGCCGTCGGTGCCATGGCTTGGCAAGAACGACAATCGTCTGAAGGAAACTCCCGAGCACAGTACCAGAGACCCAGGGGCGATGCTACCACCGGTGGCACAACCGCGGGGAAGCTTATCATCTCTCACCCTATCCTGCAAAACGTAGGCGAGGACAGTCCTTTCAACAAGATTGCTACCATCGATCTCGCCACGGCCGCCAGAAATGAGAAGGAGCGACGGAACCTTGCTGCTCTGCAGGAGCCCACGGCCTTGATCGCGCAGCGTGCAGCCCCTCGGCCCCCAGGCCTCACCGCTGAGGAAGCCATCAGGAGATCTCAGAGCAAGATGAGGCGCAAGGAGATAGGCCGGACATCGCAGGACAGCACTGAGCCCCGGTTGTCTGACGAGCCAAATAGACTAATGCCCAGCGCGACCGTCACATCCAGCCAAACTTCGCCAGGTATCGATTCGCTCCGTCGAAGATCCCCACGACAATCGCCCAACGAACTTTCTGTGGCTGCAGAGGAAGATCAGTTGCCGTCTGGCGCGTCACTCCAGGCTGCCCACGTACAACATAGGACCCTGGAGGAGAAACAGCTGCCCCCTCGGAGATCTCTGGAAAGTTCGTCAAGCCAACAGACAGCTGTCCCCAGCATCTCGTCTTCTCAAACATCATTTGCATCGCCATCGCCCGGCAAGCAAACGGGCTCTCCACCTCGACCGGAGCTGCCCTCCACATGGCCGAAGCAGACCTCAGTACGAGATACCATCAGGCCGTCGAGAATGCAGGCTATGGCGGCTCGAAATCTTCCGGGAACCTCACCACAGCAAGCTCAGAGAGACAAAAACTCTTCTTCCGAAACGCCCCAGCCTCTTCCTCCACTGCAGAGACGTGGAACCGTCGGTCTTCCCTCCAACCCTCGAGCCCAAGGCATGAAAACTGCCGTCCAGGACGGCGAATCCCAGCCAACCGTTCTGTTCATGAACCAGATTCAATACAATAATCCCGCTGCGGTACAAAGCATCATCGACGGAGCTGCTGGTAAGCTGCTCGTCACCGCCAATGTCAGGCCCGACGACCCCTCGCTTGACTTGGGTAAGGGAAGAGAGTCAGTCGTTCACAGGCCGCGGCCTATACCCAGACAACAGGAGAGCGACCGTCAACTTTTCCCGTCAGAACAGTCGCCGAGGGGACATGTAAGAAACAGATCTGGGGGCTCCATTGCCAGTCGAAAGTCCATCCTACGATCGACACCGGGTAGCCCGACCCAGTTGCCCGCCCTACCGCCCTTACCCAAGAGTGCAGGACAGCCTTTGCGACCGCTGCCAAATGACACACGAAGCATGACCTTTGACGAGAAGATGGACCTTTTCTTCCCTGGAGCGCCCCGGAGTGCTAACACTACCGTCAATGGTCTGAGGGGCTCGATTCCTGACTTACCCCCCCTACCTGCCGCCTACGCCATGGAGAAGCTCAAGTCCACCGACGAAGGATCGGGTGCGGAAGTTGCACAGCGGGCTCTGTCCAAAAGGTCCATCGCTTCCTCGCAGCGGACATCGCTTCGAACCCGGAGCATTTTCGAGATTGAGGATGAGCCTGTGCACAAGCCTGACACCCGCTACACCTCCAAGTTCAGCGTTGATACTTACACAACCACAGAAAGAGTAGCGGCAGATGACGTCCATGACTCCTGGATTCCTATCATGCCGGAGAGGCCGCTGTCCGAGGTGTCGCATGATGGAGCAAGACGTCGGTCATCCCCTGTGATTCCGGTCACTGGCGCCAGAATGTCAGTGATCAGTGATGCCCGCACCCGTGACGAGGAGACGACGACAAACTGGGGTTCCATCCACTCGCCCGTTGCGGCCGTCAACATCAAGCAGGCTAGACAAGTTCCCGTGTCGACCTACATCCAGAACCCTGACTCTGGGCAAGAACCGCGAAACGTCTCCATGCTTGACCAGAACGACGGTAAAGAGGTCATGACGATTATGCTCGATTCATCGATGGAGCATGACATGAGCATGGCTACAGCCTCGTGGTTCGACGACCAACAGTACCCGGATAGCTCGAATAACTTGAATCACCGGTGGCATCATCGTTTGGGCGAGCAGTGTACCACATTTTCCACCAGAAAGGAGAGGGTGGTGTCGCGGAGAATGCCTCCACCAACACCGCTGCTTCTGAACTCTACCAGCAAGAATTCGGTCCTAGTGGCTGCTGAACCATCTCCACTAGATTCTCCGCAGGAGGCCTACAAAGTCATTCAGCAACAGCTGAAACAACTTGAGGAGATGGATAGGGATCCAATGCAAGACGAAAGTGAGAGGCTGCGTCTACTCGAAAGACTGGAACAAGAGATGGGTCAGCAGGAATCTCAGTGGCATGATATGCAGAATGGGTTTAGCAGGGATTCTGTTTCGACTGCTGAAACCAGGTCAAGTCGACAATCCGAGGTTGAGAAGATCAGCAGGGGAACCCAGTCTAGACACTCACAGTCATCCTCGATTGCGGCAGATCGACGTGCCTCTAGACGTGCTCGCCTCCAGAACTCAGTAAGGCCTTCCAGGGACAGTATTAGCGACACAACTTCTTCAACTGCTGGAGAGAGTCGTCCGCAAAGCCGATGGCAGCAGAAACTTGCGGATGCCGAGTATGAGTATGCAGAGAATGCTGCCGATCTCACTACAACGAAGCCGTTTCTCAACTTCCTGTCGGTGTCTATGCCGAAGGCTCATCTCGGTAGCCCTACTCCACCGGATACCGATGAGTCTGCAGATGAAGGGCGTGACTTCCACAGCCGTGCCAAAGCGGTGCTGTCAAGAAAAAACGCACCTTGCGCGAAGTTGTGGAAGCCGACACCACCTGAAGCCCCTGCGTTTATCAGCAACCACTTGTGGGTTGCGCACGAACGGGTCAGGGCACCTGTCGCCCCGGAGGATCTTCCTTGTCTTTCAGTCCGTCCTGCTGTCCGCAAGACCACGGGCACCCTGGAGATCGAGAGCACTCGCTTGTGGAACCGTCGCAACTCTTTCGCCGCGAAGCCACACTCGGTAACGGTTGGTCTCTGGCGAGGATCCCCTCTCCCCGTTCTCGCCGCCCAACAAGTCAAACCCCGGCCGGTCACGCAGCGTCCGCCCAGAAAGAACAAACATGTCACCCTTCTGCCGGACATTATAGAAAGTCCCAAAGAGATGCCCAACAAGCGTGGCACTCTCGGTATTTTTCAGTTTCCTTGGGGTGAGCGATCCGATACAGCTACCATCCAAATGCGGCCCACCATGTTCACGGCCATGCCAGGGACCATGTCAAGCGGAGGACCTGCCATTCAAGCTGTTCTAGAGGCACGTGCGAAGCAACTGGAGGCTGAGGAGTACTCTGCTTCTTTCTTCGACGACTATGATGAGGAGGATGACATGGATTCCTCCAGTGACGATGATTATGACTATCAAGAGGACGACGAGGACGTGGAAGAGGCGGTGCCCGAGTATGATGAGGATGGCAGTGCTTACAACCAAGAGGGGAGCGACGACGATAACGACGACGATGTGGACTTTGACGAAAGCACCCTCTGGGAAATTGCCAGCCTCCTCAAATCGGACCAGGTCCCATCGAAGAACAGCCTCCTGCCGCAGCCACACCCAGAGCCTCAGCCCTCAATTGAGGAATTCTTCTTTGAGCCGCTCGGGTTCGAAGAAGACATTGATAAGCGCCCGTTCGATAACCAGTATGACTCCAACGTTAGCTACGACTCAATCTCGATCGCACTTGATGGCGACGAGTCGCCTTCTCTACCTCGGGCTACAGGCCTCTGGACCGAGACTCGGGAGGGACCTGCTGTCTCCCGAGAACTGGGGCTGCCGGAGGTGGACGATGCAACATGGGAACGTTACCTGCCAACGACGGAACCTCTTCTGCGCAGTAAGCCCGAGACAGTTGAAGCCGCGGTGATCCAAAGCACGCAACTATGGTCCTCACCGAGCTCTCCTGTCAAGGCCCCAGCATCAATGTTGTGGGCTGCCCCAAAGCTCGCTTCTGCACCTACTTCAAGATCAGCCAGTTCCCCGATAGAGCCATTGTGGACTGCAATGGTCACAGTCATGACCGAAAAGCCACATGGTCTGTATAGCCCAAGCCATGTCCGCTCGGAGTACCGTACAACAACGGCAGAGCCTGCCGCAAAAGGGCTTCGTCGAAAGCCACGCTCTGCAGAGGAGCGTCCGGTCGAGCTCCTAACTTCTTCGAGTCTTTGGACGGCGCCTCTCCAGACCGAGTCTGAACAGATATGGGTGCTCGCCGCTTCCATGCCACAAGCAGTCGACAAAGCTAAGCTTGAGGACATAAATGGCGGCCAGTCTTCCATCATTGAGGCTGTCGAAAACGTGTACCCCAGAGCGACAACCAGTTGTTCGCTGTGGGTAGCGCCTTCGCAGCGTGCTGAGAAGGCCGTTCGGGGCCTCTTTGACGCGAGCGCTTTCCGTCAAGACTTCCGAACAACGTCCGCATCGCCTGCAGCTCTGGAACTAGTCCGCAAGCCACGCCAGGTAGTCGAAGCCGTGTCCGAGATTCCACCTTCTACCCTCCTCTGGAGCCAAGGCCGTCCAGCCAGAGCCAAACATGCTGACATCTTTTGGATCACTTCTGCCTCTAACGTCCAGAAAGGCAGCAGCCCTGCTGCTGGTCCCTTCCTCTGGGTCGCTCCAACTGTGAATGCTAGCCATAACCCCATTGGACTTTATCAGTCTGGCCAGCTTCGAACCAGCTTTCGCACGACCTCAGCTGCGCCCGCTGCTCTAGAAACACCCCACAAAGCCCGTGTCAACGAAGAGCCTCTTGCGATATTGAGCTCCTCAACGCTCTGGAAGCAAGAAAGCGACGCGTCTGACGAGTACAACTGGTTGTCCTTTGCTAGCAAAGAGTCTCGAGGCCAGTACTCTCCATCACGTCGTAGTAGCATTGCCTCCGAATCCGTGTCACCCACGGAATCGATTGGGCTATCCTCATCTATGGACTCCAGCAGCATCACTAGTAGCAGTCTGCTGAAAGACGGCTTCCCTGGTTTTCAAGAACCCGAGCAACCGACGGCGCTTGAAGAAAGTGCAGACGATCACGGTACGCTTGAGCTCTCCCCGGACATCAAGACACCGACGCTCGCCGAAGTCTCCGACAAAGTTGAGCCTCCAAAGACTCGCTTACGCCGAAGTACCAAGACCACGAGCGCTGACTGGGACACTGAGCTCCTCTTTGCTGTCGTTGCTGGACAGACACGCCAACACCAGCAACCTCAAGCAGCCGCAACACCAGCACATGGAGATGATTCCTCTGATCAGACCATCCACGCAAGCCGCCCTCGCCGCCCAGACATCACCGCTGCAGAATGGGACATGGCTCTTACGGATGCCTTGACATCTGGTACACATACAGCTGGGACGACTCAGAGTGGGAGGGTCGAGGAATCGGTTCAGTCTGAACCGCTTCTCCCAACAACATCCCTCTGGCTCCAGCCTTCCTCGAAGGCTGATACACAAGGTTTCTTGTGGACCCGTGCCATGCCCACAAACCAGAAGCTCGACATGGCACCTTCCATTGAGAACAGACTGGACGACATCGAGTCTCAGCGTTTGCGTCGGAAACGCGTTCGCGCCCTCATCCCTAAAAGCCGCAGAGCCGAAATCCGTCACCAGATTGCCGCCATCGAAGCCGGCGCTGATCCCGCAACTGTTGGTCTTGTAAACTTTTCCGGCCACACCCTCTGGACTGCTGAGGATGCGTCTCGGCCCGAAAGCCTTTACCTCCGCGGCCAAGGTCGGGACTGGCTTCGCCTCTGAAGAAGATATCACACACTCCAGAAACCAACTTTTCTGGCTTCAGGGGTGACTTGCCCATATTCTTCACTGTCCCAGCGACATTTTCCTTTCCTATTCCTTCTCTCTCTCTCTCTCTCTCTCTCTCTCTCTCTATAATTGCTCCAATCAATACCCTCGTTGTTGCAAGAGTGAACATGCAGACCCTGAACCTGCCGCTCACTCTCTTGTCCCTTTTTTTGTTGTTTCGTTTCCTTACCTTCTCACATCGCACCAATGTACAACAACTTCCCAGAATACATATACGCTGTTGCACTATATAGCCAATATCAACGATTCATCGTGCCTGCTACTGTACGCTTGAAGCAGGGACCTGACGAAAATAAGGGATTGGCTAACTTGCCAATATGTGAACCCCGTCGCCCATTGAGGACTTGACTCGATGGCTTGAGAATGTATATGGTGACGGTGAATGCCAGTAAGATTCTGTTTACCTGCTCGCCGAGGGATTTCGGCTTCAGCGTCTAAGTGGAGATACTGGCGTGCATCTGTCAACCGCTGCTTATCATCTGGAGGTCTGCTACAGACGTTCGGTCTCCTTACAACGGACACGGAAGCATCAGTATTGAGAATTCGCCTCTCGACGTGGCGTAACGCACAGGACTAGTCGTACACGACACACAGTCTGCGAATTGGGTAAGTCTGTCACGAGACGTGTGAATACAGGCGCATGATTGATCTTATTTACTCTTTCTCGTCATTGCTATAATGCCTTGCGTGCCGCCGTTTGTATGCGAGTTTTGTCCCAAATCCCATAATTCCGAATGCATCTTGAATGCTGTGCAGTCGTCATCCCCGAGGTCATGCCCAGGTCCTTGTACTGGGAGTTTTCTCTTCCGATTTCCCTGATAGTCCCGCTCTTCCCGCCTTCCACCACGGTCTCGTATCCGTCCTCCAAGCCATTCATCCACCCTGCAGGACGTGGCTCATAGCGGGTCGAACCCTTGTATCCGTCCTATAATTAAATCTCATGATCGGCGACGGACAGCCAAGCTATCCAAACTGCCCTGGCAGAGTGGGCTGGTCGAGCATTACATAGCGCGTGCTTTCGTTGCCAGCCTACTTTGCCCACGCCTCACCCCTTCGTTGCGTTGACTCGTATGACGCAGGCCATGGCCAAGCTGTCTTTTATGTGCATGTCGTATGAATAAAAACAAAAAGAAAAAAGAGAAGAAAATCCTGACCGTCGCTATGCAGGCAAGGGAAAAGAGTAGTGTCGTACAGTTACATCAGATAAGGGAGACGCCATGTTTCCAGACACGTAGTGGCCGGAAACTATTTGTGTGCCCCCTCTCAACTGACAGTCATCATCTGCATTCGTTGGTTGAGGCCAGTCGATGGTGAGGCCTCGTGAGAGCCGCGGCTCAGTACTGAATTCGTACTTTGACTATGGGGCAGACGCTTGGGCGGACTGGATGATGGCGGTTCGGGTGTGAAGACACGGGTAAAGGCAGGGCTTTCGCGCTCATGACGACGAGGGGTCCTCATGGGACTGGAGGTGATCTGGTCGACACGGCGGACAGCCTCGGAGAGCAAGTCTCGCAAATCTCCTGCCCGCTTGACCAATGCCTTCAGATTGTTTGTGCCAAAGTGAACCTTGTCTTCCGAAGCCCTCGCCGAGTTGTGAGACGAGTCCGACGCAGACCGTTGCTGCATGGCGTCCAGCACCGACTTGACAATGTCGGTAACGTCGTGGCCCCCCATGTTTATGTTGTTCTCAGGCGTCTTCGGTCGGGAGGATGCGGCGCTGGCATCAGTAATTGATCCATTGCCACCAAATATGTCATCGTCAGGGCTGAAGACTGATCGCCTTCGTCCTGCAGGGCGTTCCCGGATGACAGTCGTCTTAGCTAGGCGGAGGTCGTGTGCCTCGAAGGGATCATCCGGCTTCTTTGCAGGCTCCGTGTCCATATTGTTGTTGTCTGCCAAACGCTCGTTGACGCTGTAAGGCTCGAAATCCAGATCCGAAGAATCAACGTCCATGCCTTCCAACTCATCCTCGTCCGGTGAGGCCAGGGAAATTATGCCTCCTGCCTCGTGCCACAGCGCCGCATGGGTACCGTCGAGTAGATCGAGATCACGGCCATGTCGGCAGAGGCGCTTGAGATCGTTCACAAGGAGAGAAAGCTCCCTAATCTGACCAGAGTGTTGCTTCAGGCTGGGTTGCGATGCTTGAATCGATGCTGGGACCATCATGGATAGATCCCCACCAGAGTGGAAACCTCCGCCCTCATCACTGCCGCCAAATTCGAAATCGTCGTCCCAATCTTCGCTGGCACCCTTGGTGCCGAGTCCCCATGTGCCGAATTTCTGCGTCGCAGCTTTGGCATTGTCCGTTGGGTCGTATACAACGGGGACACTTTGGCTTCTGACGTGCGCAACAACAGGTCCCTTGCGGTTGGAAGGACGACCACCTCTCATGTCCATTTCTTGGCGGCCGTGAACTGTCTTAGGGCGGAGCTGGCCCTCTGCACTATGCTCGCCCGGATTCGTCTCCGTCCAGTCAAAAAGGTTGCTGCGAGGCCTCTCGCCGCGCAAGTCTTGCGCCACATCCGCGACATCTTTGCCGCTGATGCTGGCTAATGCTAGTCGCAGGTTGGGGCTGACACCTCTCGAGTTCATCGAGCTGGGTGGTGATAGTTGGTTGCCGAACCCCATTTCGTCGTCGTCCCTGGCCCAGTCGTCTTCAAAATCGTCTTCTAGGGAGAGTCGTGATAGGTCTTTGTTGGACAGGGAGTAGTCGTTCGAGGGACGCTCGTAGCTGTATCCAGTCGGTGCGGGAGCGATGCCTGCGAGGTTCTTGCGGTCATGGCTAGCCCGAACCGGCGTTGACATGTTTTCGTCCTCTTCCATAATCATCTCGTCAGCATCCCAGCCACGCCCGAGTATCTCTTGGATGGACAGCCGCTTCGTCTTCCCATTGCCAGCGGTGCTGGGGGGGGACTCGTCGAACATGGACTCAAGTGGGCTCTCGACGGCTCGGTTGCGTACCGATGCCAACGTCCGTATTGAGTCAAACATGGTGTCACTCCTGAAATCTGTGTCTTCATCATCGCCGGAACCAAAGCCCCGCACCTCGTAGTCAGAGCTGTTCAGCGTGGAGCTTCGTTCGTGCCTCGCGTTCTTGTAAGAGGCCATGGCTGCCGAGCTCTGTGAGCTGCCGGATGGCTGATTTGACCGGGGCTGCGGCACAGTCGCTGACGACCCTAGCCTCGTGAGGTCGACGTTGAAACTCGAGAGACGAGACAATGGGGGAAGCGGGGAGGATGAATTTCGCTGGCGTGCCATGTGCAAAGCGGATGTGGATTGCTCAGAATTAGTGCGTTGTTGCCGATTATGCAGTGTCAATGCGTCTCCTGCAAGACTTGCAGGGCTAGCGAGGCTGTCCTGATTTGCTTTCTGCAAGGAAGAAATCGGTGCAGAGACATGACGCCTAGTCCCATCTCTTGGCTCCGCTCCACGTTTCGATCGCCGCAAGCTTCCCGTTCTCGAGAAGAGATTGGTCGGGGACGAGAAATGCGTCGACAACGAACGTCTTGCGCGTTTTGTTGGTGTGTCGTCAGGAGTCCCACCAGAGCTCCCCGTATCCTGTATTTCCTGATTGGGCGATGGAGACTCATCGACAGAGTACAATGCGTCCCCTGTGCCAGGCGTAGTGCTGACCACGCTAGCTCGGACAAGATAGATGTTTTTCTTATCCTCAACAAAGACACGTAGTCGTTTGGATAGAGGCGCCGCTCCGCGTTCGAGTAAACGGTCCGGCGTCCTACTGACAGGTACGTTAATGGTTCGCGAATGAAACAGGGAGGTCCAGCGCGATGGTTCAGCAGCTCGGGGAGGGGGGTAGGGCTCGACCGGCGACAGCGACAAAACATCTTGCGCTGGCATGTAACGATCGAGTGAATATTGCTGGGCCTCCAAACCCTCGGTCGAGTCATAGTCTAGCTGGTTTCGCTGCAAAGTTGCCGATCGCTGATGGCTAGTGGCGGGGCGGCGGAGGGACGGGAGGTGCGACTTGGCGCGGCGCCGCATCGCCGCTCCATTCTGATGAGCAGAAGGAGCGCGCTTCACTAATTTGTTTGGAGGCAGGGGGGTCTGATATGTGCCTGACGGTGACAGAATTGGGGCCGAGGATCCATGGGAGAAGGCAATGGAGTGCGTTTCAGGGCCAGCGCTGGAGCGAAGGCTACCGTGTTGTGAGAGCGGTCGCAATGACAGGCGTCTCATCCAGGAGCCATTGGACGAGACGGAGTCACGCGAGTCCTCGGCCGTGGGGGCCACGATGCCGTCGGCCTGGCGAACAAACGATTGCCTTCGGCTGCTGACTTTGGGCGGCGTAAGTTGGGTGCTACTCGTGGGACGATGAGGGCGGGGGGTGTTTGCAGTTGTGGGTGAGAAGGATGCATCGGGGAGGGAGCTGGGATGAAACACCTCGGCGGGAGGGTTCAGGCTTGCAGAGCTGGTCCCTGGGCGGGAGGAAGCAGGTGCGCTGCTCAGGCGAGGGTTGTAGGAAGCGCCGTCGTAGTTGGTGTACGCCCGTTTTCTGTTCAAGGTCGAGGTCGGAGGAGGACTTGGTTGGGGCTCTGGCTCAGCAAATGCCAGACCCAAGGCAGCTGCAGCAAGCGCAGCACCGGATCCAACGAGCTGTTGTTGAGTGATGTGTTAGCTGGCATGATCAATCGAACCAGGGCGATGGTGCAGGGGAACATCTCGACGTACACTTGGAACCGTCTGCATATTTGCTGAGCGGAACGACTCAGGCAACGGAGCCAGTGGGAGAAAGCATGCGGACGAAGCGTGTGTCTTTGTTGTCGAGAGACGAACGAAGCATGATCAAGGCATGAAGTTGCAGTAGAGAAAGCGTATCCCGTGTCGTTCGTCGTCGTGTTCGGTCGTACCAGGTATGCGAGAGACAGGCTGGTTGGTCTCAATGGATTCGAGCTGCAAGGACAGACCGTCTCCTTTGTCCTTTGGCTGGTTTCAACACCGGGGGGGGATTGGAGGTGTCGAGAGAAATCGGTAGGGTAGGGAAAACAAAACAACCCTACAGTGACACCGACAGCGAGGCAAGCCAATGCCTACAGAGCCCAATCAGTGAACGAGAGGACAGGCCAAAAACACCACCACCATCCGTTTGGGTGGGAGGAGAGAGGAAAAGGGAGAGAGGGTGGGAGAGGGATGGTTTTGCGGAGAGAGTTGACTGGACTGCTCGAGAGCCCAAGAAAGAGAAAAGCGTGGGAAGAAGGTCGCTCGCAGGGTGGAGGTTAGTAGAAACTGGGGAGATTCAGTCGTCCGACGCCCCAGTCAGTGCTGCATGGGTGCAAGCGTGTGTTTGTGGTCAGGTATGCGAAGGCAAGATACCCAGCAGTCGGTAGGGGAGGGAGACGAGACGAGCTGGCCGAGGTGAGACGGGGAACGGGAGACAAAGATACCTACCTACCTTACGGATGCAATGGGCCAGATTTGGGGGGGCGTTCCGTCACTGTTCCCGTAGTCTGCTCTGTTGGCTGGTGCGCTTTACAAGCCTGCAAGCCTGTTCGTGCTTGGTGCCAGGGAGGGAACAGCCAGCCAGGGCCGTCATGCCCAGGGCAGCAGGAGAATGTAGGTACCGGCCGGGTAGTGCAAGTACCTCACTTGGTTACCCAAGGTACCTACACCAGAGCAAGGTGCGAGCAGCATGTAATTGGACAGTGGATACGAATGACGGCAGGCGCTGGAGCGCTGGAGATGAGCGCTGTAGGGATCGCGCTTAGGCGAGCGCGGGCGAGCAGGTTGACTCGCTGGAGCGGGGAGCAGATGGGGAGGGGGGCCAGGCGCCGCTCCAAGACGGGTGTGCACAGGGCAGCTGGGCGACATGTGGTGTCTCTGGACCTGGTCCATCTGCCCGCTTTCCATTGCTCTGCCTGGCGCAGGCCGCACGCAAGCCGCAAGCCAAGGCAGTGGGGGCGCTAGCTTTCCCTGTAATTCCTTCCGTCCACAATCGGCGGTTGTTATTATTATGCCTGCTGGGAAATGCATTTGCATCTCTCTACTGCCAGCCAAGCCAGTTTTCCACGTATGTATTACAAGCAGCTGCATGTGAGATGCACCCCCATGTACGATTTACTTGTACTGACCTGTACAGCATGATTGCCTTGCCTTGTACATAACCTAGTGCAGCGTGCCGTGCTTTGACTGTCACCCAGCGCCAGCCTGCCTGACGGCTCCTACCCAGATAGGCCATTGTAAACAGCAGCAAGTCGGCAAGCAGCAAGCAGACAGCACGCACCTCCGGGGAGGGGGGCGGGAACCACTCGCTCACTTCGACAGAGAACTGTCAGCCTCAGTGCAAAGCCAGCATGCTGCCATCCATCGATGGTTTCTCTCCTCCACCTCCACCTCCACCGCTCCCGTCATCTGCACCTCCCCAAGCCCCTTCTACATGCCTCGATCCGGACACCCGACCACGTCTCGATGGTTTAACGTTGTTGACATTGTTCTTCCGACATCGACGCCAACGCTTCAGGTCGGACCAGGGCCCACACTACGACCATGTCGGCCCTGGTCTCGGTGGTCTGCGCGCCCTCTTGTTGCTTTTGTTTCTCCTCCTCCCAAAACAAGCCGAGATGGGCATCGATCTAAGAATCCTAGCGCCGTTGGCTGAGACCTATCATCTCACTGGACCGGCTTTTCGTCCACTGGACACGACAGGCAAGCAAGGCCCCGACCCTGGGCCTGGGGAGGTAGTCCTTCGGTCCAAGTCCAGCCCGCCAGCAGGGGGTGGCCTGTGAAGAATGGGGGGGGTGGAGGGGCCATGCTCTGAAGGCGGGCCAAGGCGAGATGACTGGATGCCTTGTACCCAAGGATGAAATGGCCGACATTTTCCCCTTTCAGCTTATCATGGCAAAGGCCCCCAGCTAGAAGAAGCCTGCAAGAGTGCCTTCCCCAGGATGAACGTGCTGGGGTGCTTGCACAGCATGGCAACATGGTCGAATGGCTGCTCACATTCTGAGACTACGGCACAGCTTCGCTGCGCTGGCGAGTTTGTCTCGTTCGTGTCACCCTCACCAAGCATAATCAGGCCAGTCGGTCGAGAAATAGCTCCCCCAAGTCCTCTTCGTCAGCCATGTCAAGAAGAGGCAGGGAACCTCTTGTTTCTCTGACGCGCGGAACATGGGGCTTAAACCTGACTTTGTCCGACAAGCGCACTGCTGCGGGATCAGAGGGCCATTCCTTGCATTTCCCGGTCCACCAGTGCGCGACAAGCAGGCACGCCCGCGTACCGTGTGCATGGCGCAGACTTGAAAGGCACATTGGTTGTTGGCTTCCTTGCGTCGAAACGAATATCAACAACGATATACCCAGACTGCGACCTTGGCCGAGTCCTTACATGTCGCCTTGTTATATTGCTGTTCCATCGGGCCCGGCGACATGCGACAATGGTCTGTCTGGCTCCATCGACCCCTCCTCGACTTTGAGCTGGCGTGGTCAATCTACCAGTGGCTACAAGCAGTCAACAAGAATTCGGCTGTTGAATGACTGGTGGTTGACTGCAAGTGTGTAGCCGCGCGCCGACGAAAGGTCCCGACTACTACTGTCCTGCCATGTTTCCGCCACTTCTCCTTGCTGGCGCTCCTCGGATTACCCCTCGGTGTTGGCTAGGGCAAGATCTGGAGAACTTTAAATGACAAAGGCCAGGTCAAATAGCCAGTCCTGGGCAAGCAGACAGTATCTTTTGCCTACCCAGTAGCGCGCATTGTTGGACCATGCCTGGCTTCAGCTTGACTCTGGGCGTGGCTTCGCATAGGCGAACATTATGGTGATACCGCAGGAGGCCGCTCGTCTTCCCCATGTACGTATTGATGAGCCCTGCGGCATGCTGTGCTTGACAAGGGATTGACATGCACCGTCTAGCTGCTGCTTGCCGCTCCGCCTGTTGTGTCGCGCATAGGTCGCAGAGGGCTAAATTCGGGTAGTTTCTCTCTGGATTGCCTTTGATCCCTCGCGATCCCAATGCCTATCTACCTGCCTGGTTATTTTCCCGGTTTCATCGTCGGGCGACGAACAGAGGGGTCGAGGGCTGGGCTTCCCACTGTGAGGGATCTGCTTCGTCTAGCGTCGCCTCTAGCCATGCGCTACGACGTGTTGGTGACGTTGGAGCTGCTAACCTAGGCCCCCAAACCTGGCTCCGCGCAACGCCGCACCATGATCCTCGGACGCCGGTGTCAAGTTGGAGTGGAGGGTGGGGAGAAATCACCTCAATTCCCATCGGTCGCTCTGTAACTCGCACTCTCTCTGGTAGCTCTCGACTAGCAAGCCAGGCGTGAGAGGAGCCAAGCTCGGCATTGCCGATGCTGCTACGAGCTTGCCTTGGAGCTTACGGGACATCGGCAGCTGCAGCAGACAATCTAGTGAGGAACGAGGAGCTCCTGCAGGACGTCTCTTACATGTTTTGCGTCCAACTTTTCGTGTTTGTCATAACGATGGGCCTCCGCCTGCTGCTGAATACGCGTTTGTGCATGGAAGAAGAAACCCCCGGATGCTGCCAAATGCATCCCCAAATGCATCCACGGCTTTGCATCATTCTCTGGGGTTAGAATGGAGAGTTCGTTGCCGTGCCAGCCCGTCAACTCATACACACCGACTCTCCACGGTTTGTTTCACATTGTGTTTGTGGCTCAACAATTGCCAGCGTAGCAAGCAGGGGAGAACAACAGGCGTAAACGTAGAAGACTCTTGACAATAAGTCAACGAACTCATTTCAAGCGCAAGCCCGCGGCTGGGACTTTCATCTCCAGCTGCAGCGTCAACGCAGAATTTTTTTTGTGGTCGGTGCGGATGGCGGATTGACACTGACGGGCCAGCATGCAAGGAGACCTTGACAATGGGCCTTTCGCTGCTTACCCGAAGTTTTACTCATCTCAAGGTCGTCAAGTTGACATGTCGCCTGCGAGCGATTGGCCGGCGCACGACATCGGACCCCTGTAAATCGCGTGTTTCTAGCGTGCCGGGACGCGGTCATGTGTCGAAAGCAGGCTATCGGCACGCGAACCTGACGCGTTCGCTAATCTTGGACCGATCCAAAACAGTAACCGATGTACAGGCTAATAGGCATCTGGTCTTTGTCACGTAATTGTGTCCGGAGCATAGGGTGGACGGCACAGCGCAATGGAGTATTCAATCACGTCAGATGGAGATAGAGGGGCCCATCCGCCCGCCGTGGCGACCTGGGTGACCCGCCTTGCGGCTCAGCTCACTGTTGGCGTCCCGCCATTTCGCAATAACTTTTATTGACACTGGTCGACAGTAGGATTGGCTGACAATCCTCAGCTCGAGTGGGGTACCGCTTCAGGTAAAGCTGATCGCCATCCCCTCATTGGAACGGGCTGTTGTTGACGAGCTTTATCTGCATCGGAACACCCCTTTGCTGCTGACGCCCGGCGGCCGTATAACTTGTCTGGGACCCTGAGCCAATCCTTGGTAATCTTCGGGACCGTCATCTTGCAGTCTTCCGCCTGCATTGGTTGGTTGTCGAGGGATGCGTGCTTCCTACGGATCTGACTTGCTTGCTTGAACTGGAGCACCCGCCGGTCACCGGATGACAAGCTTCAGGGGACCGAGCTGTAGCGCCAGGCACATCTCGTTGTGGCACAATACAGTCAAAATAATGAAACCAGATTGTTCGCCTCAACTTTTGCATGATGATGCTAGGATGACTTGCCCTTGAGTACCAGCCTCAGGGTCCATGCAGGCTGCTGCGACTGAACCCTAAAGCATGCCGCTCTCGCATGTGTTCGCACAGTTTTTCTTGGAATCATGGTGAGGTAGGCGTGAGTGATGTCCACTCCAATTGAGAATGTTTGTGCCCATGTATTCTCTCTTCAATTGTAGGTATGTTCCAGGGCATCTATCACTGAACTGATTCCGTCGTTAATGACACGTGATGATCCCTCAATCCCGCGCTCGTGCCCCATCTCACCCGATATTCAGCCGTTTATCGCTTATCTCACAGTCAACTTCACCCGTTCGATTCATTGTGGAAGGAAAATGGTTGCTGAGTATTGCGTTTGAGCCTCCGTCGAACAAGATATTGGGATTTGGCAGGCAAGACTTTCACAGTCTTCCTTTCGCAACCCGTCTGCTGAACATAAAAAGTTGTTCTATCCAACAAGCTCTGGGAGACCAAACCATCGTCATAAAAATGGAGGCCGAAATCAGAAACGTCCTCCCCAATATCGACCCTGTACTTTCCGAGTACTCTGTGGGTTATCTGTCTCATGCCTCAACCGCTTACGCCGACGAGGACGCCACCGACTCTCCACTCTCCGAGGCTGCGTTTGCGATCACCCAGCTGCTCATCTCCGCCTCCGGGAACCCAGATGCTAAACTTCAGCAGAAGATTGAGCAGCTGGTGGAGAAGTGGGTAAACACCTACAGCTCTGCCAATGGCTCTGAACGAAAAGGGCCCTCTGCTGTGAAGCGCCTCGACCAGACTGTTCATGTCGGGTCCGCTAGGAACATGTCGTCGACACTGGCTGTGTCGACAGGAGCTGTTGATCTGGAATCCGCCAACGTACGTAAGGTTGAGTCTAAGGTCGACAGGAAGAAGCTGGAAAAGGCAGAGCGCAAAATCGCTGCCAAGCAGCAGAAGAAAACATTCAAGACTGTCGAGTACGAAGCTTCGAAGCTTCTTGAGCAGCCGGAGTCCACCCAGTCTTACGAAGAGTTCTACATGGCTGTCAACCCCTTGCAGCTCGGAGCTTCGGCAGGCGCAGGCAAGACCAAGGACATCAAGCTGGACAACATCGACGTCTCTATTGGCGGCCTCCGTATTCTTACCGATACCAACTTCACCCTGGCGTATGGACACCGTTATGGCTTGGTTGGTAACAACGGTGTTGGTAAATCGACATTGCTACGCGCTTTGGCGCGGCGAGAGCTTCCCATTCCCCCTCACATCTCGATTCTTCACGTTGAGCAGGAGGTAAGCTGAAAGTCATCAGAGACTTTTTGTCTCTGCTAACGTGTGCTTAGATCACGGGAGATGACACACCTGCGCTGCAGGCCGTGCTCGACGCTGACGTGTGGCGTAAAGTCTTGCTCAAGGAGCAGTCGGTAAGCCAACATGCCCAGAGACTACAGATGAGTAAAACTAATTCGATACAGGAAATCACTGAAAGGCTTGCAGAGATTGAATCTCAGCGAGGCTCTATGGCAGACACGTCTGCTGATGCCGCCAAGCTTGATAGGGATCGCGAAGTTCAGGACCAAAGGCTCGGTGACATCCAGGCCAAGCTCGCGGAGATGGAATCAGACAAGGCCGAGCCGCGTGCTGCGAGCATTCTGGCTGGTCTTGGTTTCTCCGCTGAACGCCAGCAGTATGCGACCAAGACGTTCTCGGGTGGTTGGAGAATGCGTCTGGCTCTGGCGCGTGCGCTGTTCTGCGAGCCTGATCTCCTCCTTCTCGACGAACCTTCCAACATGTTGGATGTTCCGTCCATCACCTTCCTTGCCAACTACCTCCAAGGATACCCGAGTACTGTGCTTGTTGTCAGTCACGACAGGGCCTTCCTCAACGAAATTGCGACCGACGTCATCCACCAACACTCACAACGCCTGGACTACTACCGCGGTGCCAACTTCGACACATTCTATGCCACAAGAGAGGAGCGAAAGAAGACAGCGAAGCGGGAATACGAGAACCAAATGGCCCAGCGCGCTCACTTGCAGGCCTTCATCGACAAATTCCGTTACAATGCCGCCAAGTCGTCCGAAGCGCAGTCCCGTATCAAAAAGCTTGAAAAGATGCCCGTACTGGAACCGCCCGAAGCAGAGTACAGCGTCAAATTCATCTTCCCAGACGTCGAGAAGTTGTCGCCGCCCATCATCCAAATGTCTGGTGTGACATTTGGCTACTCACCTGACAAGATCTTGCTTCGCAACGTAGACCTCGACGTTCAGCTAGACTCGCGTATCGGCATTGTTGGTCCCAACGGTGCTGGTAAGACGACGGTTCTCAAGCTGCTCATCGGCCGCTTGTCACCAACAACAGGTATCATCACGCAGCATCCTCGTCTTCGGGTCGGCTTTTTCGCTCAGCATCACGTCGACGCACTGGATCTTACCACAAGCGCTGTGAGCTTCATGGCCGCCAACTACCCTGGCAAGACGGACGAGGAATACCGGCGGCAGCTCGGCGCGTTTGGTATCAAGGGTACTACGGGTCTTCAGAAGATGGGTCTCCTATCTGGTGGTCAAAAGTCGCGTGTCGCTTTCGCATGCCTCGCTTTGACCAACCCTCAGATCCTGGTTCTTGACGAGCCTTCCAACCACTTGGATATCGAGGCTATGGATGCTCTTTCTGAGGCGCTGAACCAGTTCCAGGGCGGTGTCCTCATGGTGTCTCACGACGTGACGATGCTCCAGAATGTGTGCACGTCGCTATGGGTCTGCGACGCCGGCACCGTGGAGAAGTTCCCGGGAGACGTTCAGGCGTACAAGAAGCGTATCGCTGCGCAGGCGGACGCTGCTGGTGTCGTCAAGGCTCATTAAGGATAGTTGCAGGTAGATCATCAGGCGAATGGAAATGAGGCCTGACTGAGACACGAATGAGATGCTCGACCCTCGTTGATACACGGTACGTTCACTCTTCTCACTCGAGTCCGATAAGACCACAGGAGTGTTTGCAATCTTGATGTTTATTTTCCTCAACGCCGGCTTGACATGCTACTCACATCCCAATCGGATGCCACTGTTGCTTTCGGCTGTGATGCTGTCAGATATTGGACGTCTTGATCGCCGTAATCCTCAGGCCAATGTTCTCGGGCAGCAAATGAGGTTGATGGAGACCCCTCCTCGGCGCTTGAAGCTCTCAATGCGGGGGCCATCATGGGGTGGGCGCCAATCACGCCTCTCCCGGAACTGGCATTAGCTGCTGTTGGGCCTGACCATGCCACTTTGGGCAGTCGCGCGCACAGTCCCTCCCAGGTAAACAAGCGAGACCAACGCAGCACTGCAGCACACCCCCCTGTTTGCCCCTTCCTCTATGTGCCCAGTCCATGGCGGTGAACAAAATCACTTTCACCTTCCGACCCCGAAAATCAACACCACTTCCCTCCCCCTAACCTCCCTCAACGTCCCACCCACCCGCGTCTTCCTGAAGCTCTTCTCTGCTTCCAAGCTCTTCCCAGCCTTGCCTATCGTCGTTCAGCTTCCTCAGCCTTCCCAACATCAAGATGCGTGAGATTGTAAGTCATTCCCATTCCAGCCCAACACTCGACGCGTCTCTTTCCCACCCATTCGGCCGCCCCTGAACTCTACCCCGCTGAGTCCCGAACCACGTTGTCCCGACCACGCCCGCGAAAGACGACGACACGCGAAGACGACGTCAAACTCGACCATACTACACACCTCCTGAAGTCCATGAGCTGACCTTGGTTTTCCTCACTCTTAGGTTCACCTCCAGACCGGCCAGTGCGTAAGTTATTCCCAGTACTACTGCCTATTTTCGATTTGCGGGGCTAATGTTTCGATGAACAGGGTAACCAGATCGGTGCTGCTTTCTGGCAGAACATCTCTGGCGAGCACGGCCTCGACAGCAATGGCGTGTATGCTTTCCCCTCCAGTCACAAAACCCTACCGGGTCGTTTCTTTTCTGTAGACCGGGTACTGAAGTGATGACAGCTACAACGGCACTTCCGAGCTCCAGCTCGAGCGCATGAACGTCTACTTCAATGAGGTATGTCAATAAAACGGTCCGATGGATATCTCTCAGCAGCATTTGCTCATAGCTTTTTTTTTTCTGTGGCAGGCCTCTGGCAACAAGTACGTTCCCCGTGCCGTCCTCGTCGATCTCGAGCCCGGTACCATGGACGCCGTCCGTGCTGGTCCCTTCGGCCAGCTCTTCCGCCCCGACAACTTCGTCTTCGGCCAGTCCGGCGCCGGCAACAACTGGGCCAAGGGTCACTACACTGAGGGTGCCGAGCTTGTCGATCAGGTTCTCGATGTCGTCCGCCGTGAGGCCGAGGGCTGCGATTGCCTCCAGGGTTTCCAGATCACCCACTCCCTTGGTGGTGGTACCGGTGCCGGTATGGGTACTCTGCTGATCTCCAAGATCCGTGAGGAGTTCCCTGACCGCATGATGGCTACCTTCTCGGTCGTTCCCTCGCCCAAGGTTTCCGACACCGTTGTCGAGCCCTACAACGCCACCCTTTCCGTTCACCAGCTCGTTGAGAACTCCGACGAGACCTTCTGCATTGACAACGAGGCTCTCTACGACATTTGCATCCGCACCCTCAAGCTGTCCAACCCCTCGTACGGCGACCTGAACCACCTCGTCTCCGCCGTCATGTCCGGCGTCTCGACCTCGCTTCGTTTCCCCGGCCAGCTCAACTCCGATCTCCGCAAGCTCGCCGTCAACATGGTTCCCTTCCCCCGTCTCCACTTCTTCATGGTCGGCTTCGCCCCTCTGACCAGCCGCGGCTCGCACTCTTTCCGTGCCGTCAGCGTTCCTGAGCTCACTCAACAGATGTTCGACCCCAAGAACATGATGGCCGCCTCTGACTTCCGTAACGGTCGCTACCTGACCTGCTCCGCCATCTTGTAAGCTCTACCACCCCCCTCAGCTCGGCCTAATTTGCTCTTTTCTAACAAATCTCTCTCTACCAGCCGTGGCAAGGTCGCCATGAAGGAGGTCGAGGACCAGATGCGCAACGTCCAGAGCAAGAACTCTTCGTACTTCGTTGAGTGGATCCCCAACAACGTCCAGACTGCCCTTTGCTCCATCCCTCCCCGTGGCCTCAAGATGTCCTCCACCTTCGTCGGTAACTCCACCGCCATTCAGGAGCTCTTCAAGCGTATCGGCGAGCAGTTCACTGCCATGTTCCGGCGCAAGGCTTTCCTTCACTGGTACACTGGTGAGGGTATGGACGAGATGGAGTTCACTGAGGCTGAGTCCAACATGAACGATCTTGTTTCGGAGTACCAGCAGTACCAGGATGCTGGTGTCGATGAGGAGGAGGAGGAGTACGAGGAGGAGGCTCCTCTCGACGAGGAGCCTTAGATGGCTTCTCTCGATGCATTGCTATGCAGTCCTTCTGCTATGGCGATTGATGATCAAGCGCGGTGACAAGCGATCGGTCCAAAATGTGGACTTTCAATTCGGGCCTGTGGCCAAGAAACCGATACGGGGGTTTCTACATATACCTCTTAGTAGTGTGAGTGGCGTCTTAATAAAAAGTACGACACTACATCACAATTTTATTCATGCAATGTCACATCTGCACGCACGTTACTATGATCAACCATGCGATGAGTGATACCAGAAACGTGCCAGCGCAACAGCCATCAGAGTTGTAGTATGTCTCTCGGCCCTGTCTTCTGGAGGTTCCGGGCCGTGAAAGACTGGGTCTCAACAAGGAGCCAAACGATGGTCTGTGCATGTACCCATGACTAAGCCGGCGAAAAGCTTCTGAACTCGTCTGTCGATGCCTCGAACGCAAACGCGAACAGTCGACGTGTTGATCATCCAGCCCAATTGCCCATCATGTTCGCTCCAGGCCGAGGGTTAGCCTTGAGGCAGGCCTTAGGGTCCTCGCCATCCGTTTCATTACCCACTTTCCTCGTTCCCGCCTTCCAGACGACGTCGCGACGACAATTCTCTGCATCGACGAATCGGTCGTCGAAGCTCGGCCGGACGCCTCTCTCGATCCCTCCCGGCGTCGAAATCGTCATTGGCGAGCCCAGAGTGAAGCGAGATGCGACATCATACTTGAAGATTCCTAAGCGGACGGTATCCGTGTCAGGACCGTTGGGTGGGTTTGAGCTCCCAGGAGGTGGTGTATGGCACGATGGGACCATTTAGCTGACGAAGCTTGTCTGGCAACAGGAAAGCTTGATCTCGAGATCCCCCCCTTCCTCAAGATTGATCACGACACGGAGGCGAGAAAGGCCACCCTCACAATCGAGGACGACACGGTGAAGGAGCAGAAGGAGATGTGGGGTGCGTATCCTCTTCCCGTTCTCAAACAACCACCCCCCCTTCCCCCTTTTTTTTTCTTCGCCCGGCGAGAAGACGGAAAGACTGACTCGGCTCTTCTGTTATGGAAACACAGGCACAACTTGGGCGTACCTCAACCGCTACATCATTGGCGTCTCGGAGGGCCATACGGCGGTCCTCCGTCTCGTGGGCGTGGGCTACCGTGCGTCGGTCGAGCAGCGCGGCGGCAAGGCGACGTTCCCCGGCCAGCTGTTCCTCTGCCTCAAGCTCGGCTTCACGCACCCCATCGAGGAGCCGATTCCCAAGGGTATCACGGTCACGACGCCGACGCCGACGCGCATCTTGATCGAGGGCATCGACCGCGAGGAGATTATGAGCTTCGCGGGCCGCGTGCGCAAGTACCGCCCGCCGGAGCCCTACAAGGGCAAGGGCGTATTCGTCAACGACCAGACGATCAAGCTCAAGCAGAAGAAGATCAAATAGACGAGTCGCCGAGACACAGGACTGCAGCAGCAGCGGCAGCAGCGGAGAAGGAGGAGAAGGAGGAGAAGGAGGAGAAGGAGGAGAAGGACAGGGGAGGGAGGGAGAGCTGTGTGGGTGGTGGAAGTGTGGTCTGGCCCGCAGCCGGCTTGGGCCGTGTATCTCTGTGTATTCTTGTCCCACCATATGCAGATGTGTATACTATTGTCACACCACGCCTTTTTTTTTTCTGCTCGCGTCTTACAATGCTCGACATTGTTTTTGTTCTTTGTTTCTATTTCATTGTTCTATATGGAACTGTTCCTCGTGACATCTACGCCGCCGTCTTCTGGTTCAGCACTTCCTGCACAACCTTGAGCACCTCGGCGTGCACGGCGGCAGGGGCAGCCACGACGCCCTTGTTCTTGGCGAGCGTCCGGCCGACGGAGAAGTCGAGCCTCTGGCCGGCAATGTCGGTGACGTGGCCGCCAGCCTCGCGCACAATGAGGTCGCCGGCGGCGTGGTCCCAGATCTTCTCCTGGTAGGAGGCGCTGACGGGCAGGCGCAGGTAAATGTCGCCGGCGCCGCGGGCGATGCTGCCGTACTTGCTCTGGCTGTCCATGCGGACGCTGGGGCGGGTGATGCCGAGCCGTTGGGCGATCTGGGCCTGGTCGCCGTGGGCGCTGTGGCCGGCCTCGACGCTCTCGCAGAAGGTGGCGGCCGTCATGTCGGACAGGGGCCGCATGGCGATGGCGCGGCCGTCGGCGGCGGCGAGGGCGCCGTCGCGCAGGGGGAAGGAGGTGGCGCCCTGGGCCTGGACGGCGGAGAAGAGCACGCCGCGGCCCTCGTCGTCGGTGGCGTTGGCGCCCATGTCGGCCGTCAGCGGCGCGGCGTCGTCGACGGGCAGGTTCGGGCAGCCGAGGACGCCGACCTTGACGTCGCCGTCGACCATGAGGCCGAGGCACACGGCGTACTGGCCGCCGCGCAGGAAGCCCTTGGTGCCGTCGATGGGGTCGATGGCCCAGATGCGGCCCTGGGCGCCGCCCTTGCTGTTGCCGGCGTCGATGAGGTCGAGCATGTCGTCGGCCGTCTGGATGCCGCCGCCGAGGCGCTGCTCGGCGGCGGCGTCACTGAGGCGCGTCTCGCGCACGAGGTCCCAGATCTGGGTCTTGAGCTTGTCGTCCTGGCGCAGCTGGGCGGCCTCCTCCTCGGCGACAATCTCGTCTTCGGGGAAGTGGTGGCGCAGGGCGGCGATGATGAGGGCCTGGGCGCCAAAGTCGCCAATGGTGACGGGGGACTTGTCATTCTTGTCGACGGTGCCCTTGGCTTTTTCGTGGAAGACGCGCTTCGTGAGGATGGCAGCGCGCTGGACGGCGAGCTGAGCGATCTCGAGTTCTTTCGCGTAGGACGCCATGGTGCGCGGCTTCCCTCCTGGTTTGGTGGTGGTGGTGGTGAGGGGTCGGAGGGGCACGAGGGGCAGGTGGTTGGCGATGAGGGAGAGCCGCGGCAGAGCTCGAAAAGCAAAGACAGCCAGGATGACAGTGAGGAAGGCGAAGAGAAGAAAAGAGAAGGTCACGAAGGGGCTTTTGTGGGTGGCTTGCCTGCGCATAAGTGCCTCTTCTCGAATGCTGAGCTTGGGTTGAGCGAACTCTGGCTGCTGGTCTGCCACCGGCGGCCGGTGTCGGGCAGATGTCGTCAGTTGTGGGTGAGTCAGCTCGCTGCACTTTGGTCGGGGTCACGTCACGTCAGTCGCCTCCCTCGACGTATCTCTGCTCAGTGATGCTCTGGGTGAAAATCACCTTCCTACCCCGCGGCCAACACGGCCCGGTCATTACTCGAACGCAATAAAGGTCTGTATTGTGCGTTTTGATTTCCCCCACCAGGCCCACACCAATTGACGTCGTGTCGATTTGCCCTGCCCATGCAGCGCCTGGCACGAGCCTCTGAGGGTGTCTGCTGCTGTATCACGGCAAACATGACTTTTGCCTGTCCGCGAGATTGCAAGTTGCCTCGACAAGGTCAATGATATCGACGACGAGACTGCAGACCTTCGCATCGTCTAGAACAGCGAGTGGTGGCCGGGACGTAGCATCTCGCTGTAGGCTTTCCTTTGGTGCAATTGCAGGCGACGACGAAGCTTGGTTCAACATGGAAAAGTCCTTCTCCTCTTGACGACACCGTTCAACTCCCATGTAGAAGCCGTGAGAAGGACGCTCTAGGGCCGCCATTGGCAGAGAACGCCAGGCGGTTGAATATGGGTGCCTATACGCGCCTGTCTAAGGCTGTCCCAAAGCCGTCAAAGACGTTGCGAGCTCGTGGGCGAAGATAAGGAATATCTGAGAGGCTTTCCTGCTATTGCTGGCCTACTCAGAATGCTATGAGGACCAACCCTCACCTTCTGTCCATAGCACTATCGTGCACCCACTACAGAAGGATAGACCTTGCCGGCTTCCGCCCTTCTCGAGCCCTTCTAGAGCCCTTCTCGAGCCCTTCGTCACCCCTCGCGTTCTCTGATGCGGCGCAGCGCTATACTTGAAGCTGCCGAGGGTTTTGATGTCGATGCTACAGAGATACGAACATGCCGACCTCGTGCAGGAGTATGGTCAGTAGTTTCCATCTCGCAACGCGAAGATTAAAAACGTAGCCTTTCCCGACAAAGGTCCTCGATATCTGACAACGTTACTTCCGGGGCCGTAGCGTCGCACGTACGCCCTTGCTATCGAGCTTAGCCACAGCCACGAAGAAATCGTGCTGGCATGTGACGTCGTCCAGGCTCGTCTCGTACAGCTCCCAGTCGAAGCGCGAGATGATTGTCGACGCTGTGAGGAACATTTCCGCGTGGGCGAGGCTGTAAGAGATGCTGTGAATATCTGGTTGTACAAATGGCAGAGGCCTGACACTCACTTCATTCCCGGACACTGCCGCGCGCCCTTGCCAAACGGCACGAAATACCTGTCAAGCTTGCGCCCCGCTGTGCCGGCCTCCAGCCACCGCTCGGGGCGGTACGTATGAGGTTCGGGGAAGACGTCCGGATCGGTGAGGACATCGTGGGGCGTCATGGAGATGGGTGTCTGCGCTGCTTAGTGGAAGTTCTCGATCGGGAAAGGCACAACAGCGTACCCCGGCCGGGATGATCCAGTCCTTGTACCGGAGCTCCTCGTGGCAAATTCTCGGAAGGCGCGTCGTCACACCGTACGATAGGCGGATGGCCTCTTTGATGGCGGCGCTCTGTTGTCGTCAGCCGTGTGGCCATGTCATGACCAGGCAGCAGCAAGTCTCACAAGATACGGCAGCCGCTGCAGCTCGATCCACGAGGGAACCGGCCCTCCCTTCCTGACGACGCCGTCCAACTCCCGCCTCATCTGGACGAGCGTCTCAGGAGCGTGCTGGAGATAGAACATGAGCCGTGTGATGGCCTGCGCTGTCGTCTCCGACCCGGCCCCTGTCAAGATCTCGGCCTCGTCGCAAAGCCTATCCAGCGTCTTCTCCTGCTGCGGCAGGGGGCTATCCCGTAGCGCATGGAATATGGTTTGACGGGCGCCGGCACTGCCGGCCACCCCCTCGAGGATGGGCCCCACCTGCTTCCTGACGCTCTGCTGCCACCAGAAGAGGTGTCCCACGGCGGGGTTGATGGCGGACACGACGGAGAGGGGGAGGCCCTTCATGAGGGGCAGGATCCAGGGGAACTGCCTGCTGAGGGCGCCTCCTTCGAAAGCGCCGAGGATGGTCTCTTTCCACTGAAGCTTGAAGTCGGGCTCGTCTAGGTACCCCCTGTCGGCGGCGAAGGCGTAGTCGCAGATGATGTCCATGGTCAGGGCCATGAAGGCAGCGTCGAGGCGGACGACCTCGCCCGTGCGCGCAATGGCTTCGAAGCGCGCCGCCAGCTTGTCGACCTTGGCACGGAGCACGGGCTCGAGGGCCGTCACGGCGCGGGCCGAGAAGAAGGGGTTGAGCGCGCTGCGGCGGAGGTGGTGCAGGTCGTGGGGGACGGTGGAAAAGGAGGACCCCGGGGCGCCGGCCAGGTTCGTCCACCACTGGTACTTGTCGAGACGGCGGTTGGCGACGTAGAGGTCGTCGAAGAAGTCTGGGTCGGAGACGTGAAGCTCGTGGGGGTTGATGCGAACGATGGGGCCGTAGTCACTGTGCATCTCGCGAATCTTCCACATGAAGGTGCCCCTGCGCACGACGTCCCAGTAGAACTCAACCCACAGCGTCGAGGCCGTCCATTTGGGCCCGGGAAACTTGGAGAGCGGGTGACGATACACTCGTCGCCATGCGGCAAGCACGACGGCAGCCATGGCGGCTGCCACGGCGAGGGTGACGAAGTGTAGAGTTGGATGCATGTCGTGCTGGTCTCCAGATCTGCCTTGCAACGCCTTCGCACCGGTAGAACCTCAGATGGAGCGTCGACTGGCCGCGCACAACAGCGGCACCTGATGAAAGAAACCTGGCGAAGCAGAGGAATCGATGGAACGGTGCCGTGGACATGGCCGCCGTGAGAAGGGGGGGGGAGGGAGACATCCATGTTCCGCTGCCCAACCATGTCCCCTACGCCATCCCCCCCCCCCCTCCCGCCAGCCAGGCTAATGGAGCACTCACTACCGCCGCAGCAAGTGGCAAGGATAAGGACAAGGACGAAGAATAAATTCTGGATGGACAGCCTGCACCATCGCGGTCTAGCCCGTTTGGCTCCTTGTCTCCCGAATGGGCTTGCGAATCGAGCCCGTGCTATTGGATTATTACTAAGTAATCCTACGTCAACCCAAGGCCCAAATCTCTGGGTTAGAACGCTGCTACGTCGACCACACCGTGACCACATACACCACGTGGCGTGATTCTCTTGTTCCTCGCAGCCTTGCCTCAAGAACGCCCTTCATATATAATGTCTGAACCGCAGTCACAGGCAGTCGCTGCGCCGTCGGCTACATCACCGCCGCCGGCTACATCACCAAAACCGTCGCCTCCCCACGCCGCGTCGCCCGCCGTCGCCAGTGGTCCCGGCGCCTCGGATGACCATCTGCAGCCCATTGAGGTGAACGACGACGACTCGGTGCTTGACGCAGAGGACGACGCACGCTCCGACTATGCCTCGGACGTCTCCGAAACAGCCAGTGTCACCTCTTCCGTGTTCAGCTTTGAGTATGAGAATGGACGCCGCTACCACAGCTACCGCGCCGGCCAGTACCTGCTTCCCAACGACGACAAGGAGCAGGACCGCCTCGACCTCACCCACCACGTCTTCTCCCTCACCCTCCACGGCGAGCTGTGCATCTCCCATCTCGACAACCCCCAGCGCATCCTCGACCTGGGTACGGGCACTGGCATCTGGGCCATAGACGCCGGCGACCAGTTCCCCGCCGCCGAGGTCATCGGCACCGACCTCTCCCCCATCCAGTCCTCCTGGGTGCCGCCCAACGTCCGCTTCGAGGTCGATGATGCCACCCTTCCGTGGACATGGCCCCGCGACCACTTTGACTTTGTCCACGCCCGCACCCTCGGGGGCGCCATCAAGGACTGGCCCACCCTTCTCCGCCAATGCCACGATCACCTCATCCCGGGGGGCCAAGTCGAGATCGCCGAGGGCCGCGCCGACTTCTTCTGCGACGACGGCACCCTCACCGAGTCGTCCAAGACGTACCAGTGGCTCTCCGAGTTTCGCCGTCTCGCACAGCCCCTGGGCTTCGACATCGCCCCCGCACTGCCCAAGCTGCTGGAGGACGCCGGCTTCGAGGACGTTCGCATCGTCCAGAGGCGCGTGCCGCTCGGCACCTGGCCCAAGGACGCCCATCTCCGGGAAGTCGGCCGTGCTTTCCGTGTGCAATTCGTCGAGTACGCGCTCGAGGCGTACTCGCTCGCGCTGTTCACGAGGCTGGGCGGATGGACGAACGAGGAGGCCCAGGTCCTCTTTGCCATGGTCAGGGATGAGATGAAGACGAACAAGGTTCATCTGTATACCTATACGTGAGTT